TTACCTGAACGTCTCAAAAAAAAGAAGATATAATTTTATAAATTTGTTCAGTCTCTAGACCAGGGGTGTCAAACTTGCAATGCCACGTGACGTGTTGCGACATATCATGACTTTTTCCCCATTGCCAGAGCTGGGGTGGGTGCGGTTTCGGCATGACGCATCCGGCCTGTGGGCTGGCAGTTTGACACCCCTGCTCTAGACCATTTAACTCCAATAGATTTTAATGGGAATGACATCTACCTGAGCAGTGGATTGATCTTTTCCATTCTTGGTTCAACTGCTGCTATTACATTCATCATACATATTGCTTCCATGTATAGTTTACCGATATACACAATTGTATAGTTCTGGAAGCTTGATTAGTCACAAAAGATAAAAAAACTTGTATGAGCTTGCATGAGAAATTTTGCAGGAATTTCATTATTAAAGCCAATTGGGGAAGAACAGAAAAGTGGAGGGTTAAGAGATGGAGTTGAGTAGGATGAAAGTTAGGAAAATGAGCATTGAGTCATATTGTGCTTAGGATGTTGAAGAAGGTATGGTGACTTTTTCAATGGGAAAATAATGGAACAGCAATGAAATGTTTGACATTTCTAATCACAAACGCCATCTAAAAGAAATTAGTGCCTAACTATAACTTCTCAATAACAGCAACAATATGCCAAAAAATTTATCAACAGTTCTTAATCTTTTCTGCCTGGCCTTTTTTTTTTTTTTTTTGTAATGATCTTTTTAAGGCCTTGTTCACACATGCAGATTTGTGCATTAATGATTGCCATCCTACAATTTCTTGGGTTTACAAATAGGATCATCACGAACCTATAGTTCAGCTACCATAAGTTGAGCCCCCGGAGGGAGGAAATGGGTGGGAGGAAACTGGCCAACGATAGACATAAAGTGAACCAGCCACAAATGCTGGGTGATTAAGGAAAAAAGGCAATTAGGATGTCTATGTATGTATGAATTAGCCTTTGCTCTGAGTAGATTCCAACTAGCAGGACTATACAATTCCCCAAATGATTGTAATTAATCATATAAATGGAGAGCTTTGACTGGCCTTGAGTGTACCACTTGGTATCACTAGAAAAATTATCTGCTTTGCTTCCAGAGATAAAATAAAAGCCTTGCATGGCCTCTCCCCCAGCCATTAATGGCTTGTTTCGTTGTCCAATGGCCAAGCAGGAGATGATGGGGGGGGGAACAGGATTTATGTTATTCCACTGAAAGTTTGTTCTCCTGAAGCAGATACTTTTTAATTGCCTTCTTTAACCAGATTGAGCTTTTCATTTCAGTGTGAACTAACGACCCTTCCCCAAATGTCATATGATGTACATAAAGAATAAAAGCCCTAGTTAATAAAAAAATGGATAATGACTCCATTTGCGCATTGAGTTGCAGGCCACACTGTTCTTGATTTCTATGTCATAACCAAACTGGACTCTGGACTCTTCTTCTTTATATGATTCTTGATCCACGTCTGAGAAATTAGGAGTCTCATTCCAGAGTCCCTTGATTTTGAGGATGCCAAAGCATTTTAGGATGTTGGTTCTCAACTTGTGGTCCCTGGACCCCTGAAGGGCCATGATGTCATCACGGGGGGGTGGTGGTCCACGAAGGCTTGAAGAAAAGTCATGATTTAAATCTTGAGTTAAATCTTGGAGATCCGAGGCCATGGTCCATGGCCACAAAAGGTATTTAAAGGGGTGAAGAAAAGAACCATAGAAATAGGTGTTAGCCATGAATTTGGTGAAGCATTACAAAAGAAAAAACAAGGAGTTTGTTGGGTCAAAAATGCTTAATTTCATGCAAGTAGAAATTGTACCAGAAAGAAATTCATCACGGTTCATAGTTCAGGAATCTTGATGGCAATAGGAAGTCTTTCAAAATGTATTTATGGCAGATGCTTAGCTTTTTTTGTGTAGGATCTTTAGGTATGATAAACATGACTGCAGAAAACATTTCTACACTTATTGTTGATTGAATGGGTTTTGACACCAATGTTTTGTTTTATTTACAGGATCCAAACTAGATTTCATATATTGTAGCTGATTTAATTGGGTTGTTGCTGTCATGGAGGTTAAGGTAGTTTTTTTTTAATGAGCTTTTATTAGAAGTCGATTTTTAAAATGTTGTATACTGCCTGTGATTTGGGTGGCTATATGCATTTGTTTAATAAATGTTAATAAATAAATAAGGATCACAGTATCATATGTTCCTGAATTAGATCCTGTCCCAGTAGCTTCCAAGGAATCTGGCCAGCTGCTGATAGACTTAACCACTACCGAATGGCAGCACAACACACTGCAGAATTCAGGGAACTGAGCAGAAGAGAATTGTGTACAGCTAGGCTTTCTGTAAGAAGCAGATGTTACTTCTAAACTAACTAACTGGTGCCAATTGGGATGGGTAGGATCAGTCTCCCAAAGTTTAAGTGAGCTGAAATTACCAAGTGGATTATCAGTAAAAATGGTCACAAGGTCTGATCTTATTGACCACTGAAATACTAAATGGAATTCCTGAACAGCTTAGTGACCACAATGGTTTGCCTGTTTCCTAAAATCTTGGACAAGTACAGTGGTGGGATTCAGCCAGTTTGCACCAGTTCGGTAGAACTGGTAGCTAATTTTTTGTTGCCCAGACCCAGAACGGACTTCCAGAAGCAGCATCCACACAGAGAACCAGTCATTCACCTATTTGACAAGTACTGTTGATTATGACTGTGTTGGTGATTCCTCCTATGTTGATTCTTTCCTATCTCTCTGACTGAGCTGGTCTGACAGCTCTAACCTGGTTCTTGTGAGATAGACTACTTTTCTTATACTAGGTGTCATACTAGCAGCATGGGTGTTCTGGTCTATTTTTTTTTTCTTTAGATCCTCTATCTCAGAGGTCCCCAACTTTGTGGGCACCAGGGACCCGTTCTATGGAGAGAATTTTTTCCGTGGACTGGAGAGTGCGTGGTTTTGTGTGCTGCCTGCATTTTGTGGATGGGGCTTTGCTTGTTTGTGCAAGCTGGTTGCTGGCATGCCACGTACTGGTCCATGGACCGGGGGTTGAGGACCCCTGTTCTGTCTCATAGAGTATGGAGAACTTGATGATCAGTGGATCATCTGGACATGCCTAAGGTTGAGTCTAAGTGCCCTTTAGCTGAATAATGCATGACATTCCAGTGTGCAGAGGAAGCTAAGTGGCCACAGGGAGCAGATGTCTCAGATGGCATGGATACTATCGGGATGGCTCCCTTTAATGCAGACCTTCTTGAGATGGAATTATAACAGCTGCACTTCCACATTCTTTCTGAGCAGTGATAGGTTTCCTCATCTCACCCAGACAATTTAATAATCTACTGGGGGGGGGCAGTCTTCGTATTAATAATGCAAGCCATCATCAACACATTTCCATTATGATCAGCTATTCCAGCAGATCACTAAGCTTCCAGGAAGTCCTCCCCCCCCCTTTCTCTTCTCCTTGGACTGGATTGGAAATACAGGGAGTATTTCTGTGAACTGTGTAAAGTCCTCCCTGTGGTAAGTAATCTCCGTCCCTGTGGAATAGATGGATGTAGGTTTCTCCACAAATTCATCGAAACACTTCTGTCAGTCAGGCTGGGCTGAGAGAAATTAGTTCATCTGTACTCAACATGTTTTAGGGCTAAGTTGGAGAATTCTCTCCATTCTCATCAAATATTTGCTAATAGCTCTCTAGGCCTGGGAAGATTCATTGGTATTAAGTTCTAGAATTGCCTTCGTTTGGTGGGTGAGATTTTAATTTTAATTTCAAATTTTAATGAAACACTAGGAGAAATTCTTCAAACAGGCCTTTCCAGCCTCTGCTCACTGTAGTTGCCCAGACTCACCTGGTAGGAGACTCTCGGCAGCATACAATTTTAATTTAATAAAATAAATGAAAATTGTGAAGGGTATAGCCCAAGACATCTGGATGCAACCAGGCTAAAGGTAGCCACGGGCAATTCTACAGAGAGTTTTGAGGGAATTTAAAAACAGTTTGAATCGCTCTGATCTCATAGCATGGATAATATTGAAATGTTGAGTTGACTTCTCTTGTAGTTGTCATCATGGGTACCCACAAGGGAGAAGGAAAGGAAAACAACATCATGTGTTTCATGACATTGTGCAAATAACACATGTGGTGTAATGAGCCTAACTTGTGTGATACAACTGATGCAAACAGCATAATTTGCACAATTATGTTCAGAGGTGCAGTTGGGCTGAGAGAAAGCAAATAGCACAAAGTCACTCAGCCAGCTTTCATGTCTAAGGTGGGACTAGAAGTATCCTGGTGATTGGCTCAAAATCACCCAGCCAGCTTTCGTGCCTAAAGTGAGACTAGAAGTCACAGTATCCTGGTTAGCTTTGTGAGTGTTGAAATGTATGCAGGCTTGGCCCATGGAAGAAAGGAGAACTTTCTAGCAGATATTCAGATGTGCAAAACTTCTTAGGTGTTCCCCATTTTAATAAGGCTAAAGCAGCAGCAGCTAGGTCTCCCAAACACCTCACCCACTGGAAATATCCAATGATCTTTTAAAAAAAAAAATATTGCCCACACTCCTTAATTGCCATTACACAGAGGTTCACCTCTTCTGCATCCTTAAATCTTTAAAAAAATTAGCCTTCATCAAAACCACAATTCTGATCCATTTCACCATCATGGAGTAACTCCCAGTGGAGGCAAACTGCTAAAAAGAATTTTGAGCTGGTAGTGATCCTGCAAACGAATGGAAACAACAACAACAACAAAAAACCCCAAGGATTTTGAATTGGAAAGAGACATTCATTTGGACCAGCTTTTATTTCGTATAATTGAATTTTGCAACTGGCATGTGGCCAAATTTTCTTGCTGGGCTACTGCTGGGCTGGTGTGCTGTCCGAAGGAAAAGAGACAGCTTTTTCCAGCTGCCCTTTGACGCTTGTAATGACCACACCCCTCTGGTGATTTGAAGAGCTGCTACTATTAGAAGCATTATGGTATTTCCATCCTCTTTAGATCCAGTAAAGAGGAATCCACCAGGTATTTGGAGAGAGTCTTTAGCGAAGCGTGGAAAGAACAGCTTCTGGGCAGCAGAGAGCTCTTTCATTTTCTTCCGACTTCTCAGGCAAGTCAGCAATTTTTCCTTTTCTATGAACATTTTACTGTTGGTCAGGTCTTCCTATTTCATTTGTAGAGATAGGTAGATAATCTGTGCAACTCAGGACTTTCTGCTTGCCTTGTTAACTAGTTCTCTTCTTAGCACTGGGAGGAAAAAGAAAGACAGATGACATGATTAGCTGTAGGTAATAGGGATGCAGATCACAGGGCTGTGTTTTAATCAGAACTAATGCAACTTTCAGACTCATGTATTGGTGATGCTTTGTAGATTGAAAAAAAAAAAACCCTCAGAAGTATATTGTTAGACACTCAGTGGCATTGTCTAACTATAAATAGCATACCTTCAATGTTAGAAAAAGAGAGTGTTGTAGCCGATATCTATAGTTAGAGTTGACTATATGTATATTTATTTTTGCAAAGCTTTAAGATGAAGAACTTTGAGATTTGGCTTAGGAACAGTAAGAAACCTTAGGTTTTGGAGCAAATATTAAGAGGCTGTAATTCCTTCCCACTTTCCTTTGCTTACCGTTTCTTCCCCACTGGAAGATTTACATAGTGAAAATAAGCAAAGAACAGCAAGTGTTTCAAAACGCAAACTGCAGAAAAAAGAACAGGGTGTTTGCCAAAGTTTGGTAGTTCTGAATATAAAGAATAATCTGTGACTAAGGCCTAAAAATGACATATGATATGAAGCGTCTCTCTCTTGTAGAAATGACAGGAAATTATTTTTAATTAAACGAAAGCGATATCAATGGGAATTTTTCCCCCCTATTGTTATTTGCGAGAAAGGGTCGGGACATCCATTCAGCATTGAGAGCAATGTCTTTTGTGTAACTTGGAACTAATTCTTCTGGGAAGCCCTGATATCAGTGGGAATTTTTGTTAGGGGCTTTAGCTTTTTTTTTGTAATACTGTGTAATAGAATGTGTGGCATGTGGCTAGTCCTCAAATTCTCAGTTGTTAGTTGGCAAAGGGATCTGTGAGCTACTGTTACTGGTATTAGCTATTAATCAAGGAGAGAAACAACCTGGAATTAAGGAGAAACTTCCTAACAGTGAGGACAATTAACCCGTGGAACAGCTTGCCTCCAGAGGCTGTGGGTGCTTCGTCAATGGAGATTTTTAAGAAGAGACTGGACAGCCATTTATCCAGAATGGTATAGGGTCTCTCTTCTGCTTGAGCAGAGGGTTGGACTAGAAGACCTCCAAAGTCCCTTCCAGCTCTATTCTGAATTGAATTGATCTGTTCAGAACCCTAGTTGTGCTTTTGTGAGTCAAATTGTCCTGTATCACTGTCGTAGGAAATACAGAGCCCATAACAGTTGATCCTCCAAACATGAACAGAGCCAGGGATAATGGGATTTCTGCTATCAAATGTACACATATGCCTGGGCTGAAATGCCTGGTTTTTTTTTTAAAGCTTTCACTACTAGCTTAATCAGTTCCTCACTGAAGTAGATGTAGGGCCACCCAGGCTTTAAAAACATCTGGAAATCTGGGCTACACCAATGCCTTGAATTGCTCGAAATATCACTGTGAGAAGACATATTTCCTGGCTTAAAGATTCTAAAGCATTTATACTCTGAACAGTGTCACCCTCCCTTCCTAGGGGTTGCACATCGATTCCTTATGGGTAATTAAACCTTGCCTAATGAAGATCCTCTCCACCAGTTCAGATATTAACAGTGTTAACCTGTTGACGTTTGGGGAATGCCAGGATTGGCCCTGTGGGTTTGGAGGGCGATGCCTCCAGCCTGCCTGCTGAAGAAGCTCTAGATTACAGTTGTTTTGAATTCTGCAGAATCAAAAGCCAACTATCCAAGTCTTCTTTGCTGCCCAGTCAGCAAAGCCTTGGCAAATTATCTGATTATTGTGGTGTCTGTTCTCTGAAGGCTTACTTAGCAGAAGCTGGCAGTTTAGCTGAGAGTGCCGGTACTCAATCATGGTGCTTTGCAGACCGATTGAAGTCCAAAACTCAAAACTTAGCTTTTCTCCAACCTGCTAAGTTCCAGAGGTGTTGAACTATACCTTCCATCATCCTCAGCCAATATATCACTTGATTCTTCAGGAGGGCCCGCAGATTAAAGATAGCTCCATTAACTCTTCCACCACAGCTGCTTCTCTTTAATTTCCTTTTCCTCTCAATCATCTATTTGTCCTCTCTGTGCTTGTCCCCCACCCCCCAAGCATAGCACATGATGTGTAGTGGGGATTAGAGGAAGACTATCGGGATGACATCATACCATGTGCTTGCATTTCGACAGGAGAAGGAAAAGATGAGATGGAGGGTCCCCCCCCCCACTTTTTCTGGTAATAGCCCTTCCATTGAACCTTATTCCTTCTGCCTTGCAATGAGTAAAATGCTCCCCTTTCACTCAGTTGCTTTTATCTATTTAACAGGCACAATCAGAAGTTGATGAATGTCTAATTTCATTCAAAAGACACATTTTTGTTTTTGGACTCTTCTGCTTTTGACTCTAGCTTCAGAAAAGTAGACTGGTTAAAGATTGAGTTTTCCATCAGCAATTGGGTTTCTCTCTTTCTCCCTGAATCTTATTACTTTTATTGCATCTGATTACAGATGGGTTCATTCACATTTTCATACAATATATACCAGAGTGAGACTGGATTTGTCTTGTGTGACTTTAAGAGTCGTTCAGATCTAACCGGCCAGTCACTTAGTAGTATGGGTGCCCTTAGGTTGACCTCACCTCTTGACAGTTTACCAACTGTCCCTACCATCCTGCTGATTGTGATGTTATCCATATCTAATTATGCCTCCCATAAGCCTTGCCTCTCCTGTTATCAAAGACAGGATGTGAGATTTTATAGACAGAAAGGAACGCGTTACTTCTTTTTGAAGAGAATCAGGCTTCCTTTTATAATGCAGGCAAGCCCTGCTATCTGGTGTCCAAACTGAAGGGTTGAGGTCTTTAAAAATCCACACTCCAAATTAATGGGGCTGGAAAACTGGATGGATCACAAGAAGTATTGAACATCGAACACAGAATATACAATCATAGAGAAGAGAAAACTGAAAATATGTTTCTGTTGTAGGATGTTTAGAGGGAACTGATATGAAAACCAAGAAATTGCTGGTTCCTTTTTTTTCCCCTTAGTGCGTTGAGCTAAAGTCTGAAAACAAATTTGGTATTCCTATCTATAAAAATGAGATAACATGTTGGGAATAAAGACACCAGTCTATTTTACCAAAACTCTTTAAAATTAAATGGTGATAGTAGGCACACACTGTCCTATGTGTTGGGATTTGCAAAGTTATTTTGACTCAAAGGTTTTTTTTTTTTTTTTTTTTTGTAAAAAAATGATCCTCAGCTATGGTTACTTTTGCAAAGCCATTTGCTTGATGAAACATTTTTGATTGCCCATTCATTTATTCCTTGCTAGATTTTATCCCAAAATTTCTCCTGGAACTAATGTGGCATATATCACATTCCTGTATCTAAGTTTAATTTATGAAATAGCATCAGTTTTGTTAGGGAGACCAAACCAGGAAGTCAATGTCACAGGAAGGCTAAAACACATTTTATTGAGGTTGGCTATAATAACAGTATGTTTCAATCTTGGTAGTGCTGTAGTTGCTCCTCCCTGATACTCAAGAAATCAGAGCTACTTCTGAATGTTACCTCATTGTTCGGGACTTAAAAATGCTTCAGTCCTTTTTCTAAGGCCAGTGTTTTTCAACCTTGCTCGCTTGAAGATGTTTGGACTTCAGCTCCCAGAATTCCACAGCCAGCCGTGGAATTCTGGGAGTTGAAGTCAGCACATCTTCAAGCAGCCAAGGTTGAGAAACACTGGCCTAGGTGAAGGTTCCTGCATATCTCTGAAGGTAGACACAATATTGAGAGTTGCCTTCTATGGCTCATGGTGGGTTTAAACATTGATTGCTCTGTTTCTAATCAAATACCCTAAATCAGGGGTATCCGATCTTGGTAAATTGAAGACTTGTGGTCTTCAATTCCCAGAATTTCCCAGCCAATCATGAATTCTAATGCTCTAGAATTCAGTTTCAATGGAAAGTATTAAAGAACCATGCAAATAACAATTTTAGAGAGGGTATACCCCAGGGGTCTTCAAACTTGGCTCTTTTATGGCTTGTGGACTTCAACTCCCAGAATTCCTCAGCCAGCGTGCCTGGCTGAGGAATTCTGGGAGTTGAAGTCCACAAATCATAAAAGGGCCAAGTTTGAAGACCCCTGGTATACCCAGAAGAAGGCATGTGTCAACTGGCTACAAATTGTGTTTAGCCATTTCACTATGATTCACCAATCCTACCAACTAGAAATAGTGTTGTGCACCCAGTTTGACTATTCCTGTCTTTTGTCTTCTTGACAATCAACAAAGGTTTCAGAATTAGCAGCACCCAATCTCACCAGATATTCCCAATCTGACACTTTTGTGGTGTGGTGTCAAGCTCAAGCTACAAAAGGTATGGCTCTTGCATATCAGGTGTGAACTAGACTCTTGTTGTGAGTCAACAGGGAACCTTTTTTGAGGGTGCAGACTGGATTTCCCAAGCAAAACCATCCATTATTTCAGAAATACATCAACTCAGCAGACCTGTTACTCACAATTTAGTCCATTTTGCAGAGATTTCAGATATTCTCCCTCCAGTTTGTGATTTTGACAAGTTTCTAAATCTCATTGACCATCATGACATCATGGAAAAAAAACAGATAGAGAAGCACATTGAACTCAAAGTAGTTTCTGAAACGTGAAAGCAATGAAAAGAAACAAGCCATAAACCTTAAAATATGGAATAGAAGAACAATAAAAGCAGATTTTGTTTACCGTGTGTAAGTAGAGTGCAGGTCATCCTGGATTTACAATCACCATTGAGTCCAAAATTTCCATTGCTAAGCAAGACAGTTAAGTGAGTTTTGCCCCTTTTTATGATATTTCTCGCTGCAGTTCTTAAGTAAATCATTGCAGTTGTTAAGTTAGTAATATAGTCATTAAGTGAATTTGGCTTCTCCGCTGACTTTACTTATCAGTGGCTTACAAAAGACGATCACGTGACCCCGGGACACTGCAACCATCATAACTATGAGTCAGCTGTCAAATGTTTGAATTTGGATCACATGACCATAGGGATGCTGCAACGGTCGTGTGAAAAATGGTCATAAGCCACTTTGTAATAATAATAATAAAGTTGGAAGAGACTTTGGAGATCATCGAGTCCAACCCCCTGCTCAGGCAGGAAACCCTATTACATTTCAGATAAATGACTGTCCAGTCTCTTCTTTGAAAAATTCCAATGTTGGAGCATTCACCACTTCTGGGGGCAGGTTGTTCCATTGGTTAATTGTTCTAACTGTCAGGAAGTTTCTCCTTAGTTCTAGGTTGCTTCTCTCCTTGATGAGTTTCCACCCATTGCTTCTTGTCCTGCCTTCAGGCGCTTTGGAGAATAGCTTGACTCCCTCTTCTGTGTGGCAGCCCCTGAGATATTGGAAGACTGCTATCATGTCCCCCCTCGTCCTTCTCTTCATTAAACTAGACATACCCAATTCCAGCAACCATTCCTTGTATGTTTCAGTGCCATTGTAACTTTGAACAGTCACTAAATGAATGGTTGTAAGTCAAGGACTACAAGCCATGGGATGTATGATAGATATATAAATGTATAAATTAAAGATAGTGGATGGGCCAAGCAACAAAATGCTTCAATTAAAATATCTGAGCCTTGCAATTTGTCATTTCCTTTTTGTGGCCTATGGTTCCATGTTTTCTTGGATGCTTTCTCAGTCACAGGAACATCCACCATTTAATCCATATCCAAGAGTTTCAGGTCCTTAATTTAGACGACCTCTTTCCCCCTTTTCCTAGCTGGAGGAATATTGTTTCCAATTTCTTTTAAGGGATGCTGGCACTTTGATCTCTTGCCAGCTGCTTCATATCCCAAGCAACTCAAAGAATTTCTATAAACATTTGTAATAATGATAATAAATCACCCTCAGCTTCACCGTTGAGCTTCTTCCTTTTTTTTCATGGTTTCAATTTTCAAGACAACCCCACTCTTGTTTTCTCCCATGTAAAGCATCTTAAATATGGTATATAGGTGAAAATGGTGAAAATGTATTAATATATTCATAAATAATGGCCCAGCACATCACTGTCAGGATAGTTGTGACCTTCAGTTCCAAGTTCATTTTAAGCTTGTAGAACCATTTACAGCTCTATTCAAACCATCATCTATTTGTAGGGTGACTTAGCCAGATTAAAATTTTCAGAGGATCTAGTAGCTGCAAGGTTCGTTCTTTGTAAACTGTTTACTTTAAGTGTAAACATGTGCTATTCTTTTTGTACCAGCTATGATTTCTGCCATCATGATCATCTTGACAGCACTAGTCGTATTATTAATAAAAATGTTGATCACCTCTGTGAGATCACCCAGATATTCATTTTCAATTCATTTCAGTAACAGAAGATTAGGAAAAGCCCTATTTTCCATAATTTATTTGTTAAATTTATATACTGCCTATCTTACTGTTGGAGGCAATAGACAATATAAAAATAATGGTTCCAATGTTATGGAGCTCGAGAAATAGTTATCAGATTCATTGAATGACTTACAAATTGATTGTCGAATAAATGAACTAATCGTGTCCTGTTTTAGGTGAAAAAGACATGGGGGAGGGACAAGCATAACAATAGTATTGTATTTGTTCACTCTATTTAATGAATGCCAAATAACCAAAGTTGTTAATATGAATTAATGCAAGCAATTAAAGGAACGGAGCAGATAAAAACAAAACCATCAAGCCACACCTAATAAAAACAAAAGCAACAACATCAATAAAGATACAACAGGGGGGAAATCTAAACAATTAATGTCCCCTCTCCAAGTTTCTAAATGCCTGGGAAATTAGGGGAAAATGTCGTATTTTTTTCATATAAAATATGTACTGGCACATGTTTCTGGAAAGACAGTTGCTGGATTCCTGGAAGCGATATCTGAAGTACGGGAACAATTTTCTTGTCAACACCAGTCTTGATTCTCCAAACAGATTCAAAGACTGATTCACACATTCATGGGCATCTGTGCATCAGTTTCTCCAGCGGTTCTTGCAAATTCAGTTCAAAGGGATGACGATAACGCAAAGCACAAAATAGTCTACAAGCTCTTCCACATGTCATTGTTCATTTTCTGTAATCCTTCCAACAAAAACTGAAGACGACCTTCTTGCCTTCTACTGGGTATGGAGTGCTGTGAGGTTGCTGAGAATGCTGTGAATTTACTTTCCTAAACCTTGTGCATATATAGAGTATCTTTGAGAGGTAGCGTAAGCTTGGCACATTTTTTTTTCCATCCTTGGTGGCAATGCCTACTTAGCTAAAAATTTGGGTTCCAGATTATTCTTGACATTGAGAAAACTCTTTTAAACACATCTCTCAGTAGATTAGAAGTGTAAAACAAACAACAATATTCCACTTCTATTGAAGACGAAGGCATTGGGTGTTATTGGATGTTTTATTTTTCTGTTCAGTTGGGTTCGATTCTTGGAAACTGCCTGGACAAGTCCCTGCAGTTTTCTTAGCAAGGTTTTTCAGACGTGGTTTGCCTTCTTTGGGCTGAGACAAAGTGACAGGCTCAAAGTCACCCCGCTATCCTGCCCAGGGTGGGATTAGAATTCACAGTCTCCTAGTTTCTAGCCTGACGCCTTAACCACTATACCAAACTCCCTTCAGGTTCAAATAACATGCAGAATTAAACTGCAGAATTAACTCGGCAACAAAAGTCCTTGAGATAGTCTACAATTAAGAATACACACCATTTATTAGTTATATTAATATAGGGTGTCATGGTTCCGAAAGTTGACATAGGGTTTTTATCCTGATAGATAGATCCCATTTCCAAGATTTTGGTATTACAGGGACAGAGAGTTCCAATTGGCTATGGCAAGTTGTCCCATTCCGACTTGTGTAGACCCTATTTCTAATCTGACATGCCTCAAAGGTCTGACAATGTAAAATCAAATGGAAGTTTTTGCTTCTATGGCCTCAAGTTGATCCAAGCTGATTCAGGCAATTATTTAACAAGCTCCTTTCTCCATTTCTGCAGGCATCCTGGAAATGATGAGTTACTACATGGATACAACTATTGGGAATCCTTCTCATTATCCCCTGCCTCGTCCTCTGATGATGGTAAGGAAATCGTTTGGCTTAATAATGGAGATATAAAGAAGCCGTGTATACCTGTTGCAACTCATGTCAGCTCCAGCATTGCTAGCCAGAAATTCATTTTTGCTGGGACTTTTGTAGCCTACACAGACTGGTCCCATCCAAGCCCAAGATAGAGAGTCCTAAGAATTGCAGAAAGTCAGAAATATAATCAGGCCAAAATAAACTACCTGTGAAGTCCATGGTGCTTTCTGAGCTTGCTTGCTTGCAGACCTTGCATGATGTTACCTACTTGGATAATGAGATGTCTGTAACAAACCAGCAAGCTCAGAGAGCACCAAGGATTGAGGTACAGATAGTCTTTATTCTATTGAATAAAGCTATCTACAATATACAACTCTGATGTTAGTCATACATCCAGTCTCTTTTAAAAATTCTGTTTGCTTCACTGTTTGCATTTTCATATAATTAGGTTCAAGGGTTTATATGCCATAAGCATGAGTTAAAAGCTGGTGTTATGGCAGGAGCCAGCCAAGGGATTTTTCTGAAAATTCAGTGAAATAGAATTCAAGGAAGGTTAAAGAGAAACATACAAAGTAAATGCTCAGAACTAGCATGGGTGTCAAAACAGCCATACTTTAGCAAGAATGCTTTATGCCCCCAAATGGAAAGATGCACTAATTCCCACACTGGAAGAATGGCTGGAAAAACTGACGAAACTGGCAGAGATGACCAAATTAATTGCTTTAATCAAAGAAAAAAAAACTTCCAATTTACTTTCTACTTGGAAACTGCTTATAGCTTTTGAGCTTGAGACAGAAAATAAAAATGAATTTCTGATTTTGGGATACGCTGATTGCACAAGTTTGCTGTTATAGAAATAGCTAGCATGTACTAAGTGTGCAAAACTAAAAAAAAAATGAGACTGCAGTGTTATCACCTTTATTCAACTGCGTTGGAAAGAGTTGGAAGTTAAAGCTTTCCATTTTTTTCTCTTTACACCACACTTCTCTCTTCTCCTTTTCCCCTTTCCCTCTTTGCCAGTATCTTTATTTTCCCTGGTACTTTATATTTTGATGCGTTTAGTGAAATTATATATAAAAATGCAGCCATCAGGAGCCTGCTCAAACCAGTTTCAGAATAGGAGGGAACACAGAGGGATTGACCACCTATGGAGCGGTAGCAAGAAGGAAATGGTTGTACATGGGAGGAGCAAGTACATAAATGGGGCCAGGCCTTTAGAAAGCAGAGGAGAAGGGAAGGAAGTTCCTCTTCCTGTTATCCCAAAGTATTAGCAGGCTCAGCAGATACGCTGCCCATGAGATATGTTCCCTTCTGTCTAAGCAATCAACCTTTGTCACAAAAGAAACACCCCTGCTGGGATTACACTTCCTCTGAATGCATTTAGTTTGGGGATGGTTTCTTAAAAAAGTTAGGCCCGTTTGGTCTGCTGTCAAAGAATTAAAGGAAACAGAACAAATGCATCCATTGGCATCGGACTGGCGCTTTTTCAAAAGGCAACTGGACTTTGTTTTTCCTTGAAGACCGTTCTGTTCCTCCTCCAAGAATGGTGGAGGATGGGAGGATTTATATTCCTTGCAGTCATCTGGTCATTAGTACTCTCCCTGAGAGCTCTTGAGGCCACTTGGAGGTTTATCTGTGCCCTCAGGGTCAGCTGAATCAAAGTGCAAATGGTGTGAAACCTTCTTGGAACTGCTGAAAGGACTGTGTTGTAAACGGGAGATAGGTGCTGTCATATTGCCCCCCCCTCTATAGGACTGTTCAGTTTTAATATAGATGGCCTCTTTGACCCCTCTCTCAAATCAGTGGTCCTCTCTGCCTAGAATGTGGGCTGAGAATCTCCATAGACATCGGCATGGGGTTTTGTAGGAAGTTGATTTATTATTGACTGGATTCATGCATCACACTGAGAAGTCCTGTTTGTTCTCATTTCATTCAGCGTAAGGTGAAACTCGGCCATTGCCACCTTGTAAAGCAAGGTTAGGAGTCAGAATGAAGTAAATCGTAAATGGTGCCTCATTTAATAAACCAAAGAAATTGCAGTTTAGGACTATATCTGAGCCCAGTCCGTCTTTGAAGTTAGGGTAATCCTGAATCAAGTTTTGGCAGACACAGAGTTTCCTTATTAAATAATATCAGATTCAAACTCACAGTACTGTAAGCCAGCCTACTTGTTCAAATGAGACACACTATCTCTCTGGAGATGTCACTCTGGTGCAGTGTTTTCCAGCCTTGGTAATTTTAAGATTTGTGGACTTCAATTCCCAGAGTTCCCCAGTCAGTTGGGAGAGAGGAGTGGTTGTCTTATTAAAGCTGTTAATGTGGTTTCTTAGTATCCTGAGGGGTCATCTCCCCACCCCAGAGTAATTTTAGACTGTTTGAAGTAATGGTGCAGTTCTGACGGAGCAAGGAATGACTGTTTTTTTTTTTTAAATGGACATTATTAAAAGTTTCTTCTGCATTTGTAGGATTTCCTGCTTCTTCTGTTGGCTGAGTCTTCAAGGTTTCTGCTTCAAAGTCCTGATGGTTCCACTGTCCCAAAACTTCTTAAAGTTGTTCTGTTTCCTTTAATAAATGCTTGAAATCAAAATGGCAGGCAGAATCCTATATACAGCCCAGATTTTCACAAAGATGCAGCCTCAGGCATGGGGTGAGGTGGCTTAGAAGTTAAGATGCTGGTCTTGTTGCCTGGAAGGTTGGAGGTTTGAGACCCAAGCACCGTGTGATGGAGTGAGCTCCCATTACTTGCCCCAACTCCTGCACACCTTGCAGTTCGAAAGCATGCAAATGCAAGTAGATAAATAGGTACCACTTGGGTGGGAAAGTAACAGTGTTCAATGGGCCTTGGCAAGTAGTCATGCTGGCCACATGATCACAGATCTTCAGACAATGCTGACTCTATTAGCGAAGAAACAGAGATGAACACTGCCCCCCAGAGTCAAACACTACTGGACAGGGGAAATCTTGACCTTGCAGTCTAGGGCAAGCCTTCTGAGACATTCATGTTTTTAATGGGACCTATTGGTGGCCTCTGATCCTTTTTCTTCCCAACGATACAAGCAGTGACATTCTTCTTGCATTCTCCCTCTATGAAATCGTATGGATTGGATTATAATAATCTACATACAGGTTCACCGTTTACTTGTATCATGCTAACTGGATATAGTAATCTGATGGATATAAGGAGTTTCATCTCAGATGGGTTAATTGTATCCGAGCTTAATAAAATATCTGACAATTTTTTGCTTGTAAGTTCTAAAGAGCTGGAGAGCTATAGATGCCCAGCATTCCTTTACTCAGAGAATGTAGCGATTGATTCAGAGAAGATAGAATTTCATACCTTGTAGCTACTGGGTTTGATCTTAATAACTTCTGAAATCAAAGGAAGATAAGTCTGCATGGACATACTTTTGTAATCATTATCCAGAGCTGAAGTAATAACTTTTGGCATTCTGAACTACACATCCCCTTGCAGCATCTTTCTTGGGCCATCACTGACAGAAATTGCTTGATTTTCAGTCACCCATCTGTCTGTTTTTGTCTGTCTACCTTCACTCTAAAATGAAAAAGAGAAATACAGATAGATTCTCTCTTTAATTGACAATGAATAGAACAGAATAGAATAGAATAGAATAGACACAAGAATACACTAGACTAGACTAGTCTAGACACAAGAATAGAATAGAATAGAATAGAATAGAATAGAATAGAATAGAATAGAATAGAATAGAATAGAATAGAATAGAATACTTTATTGGCCAAGTGTGATCAGACACGCAAGCAATTTGTCTCCGGTGTATAAGCTCTTGGTGTACATACTAGCAACAAATGATAAATCATCATAATCATAAAATTCATTCATCCTAAATCATAAGATGGCCACAAATGAGTCCAACGTTTCTCTTGCTAAGTGAAACATTTGTTATGTGAGTTTTATCCCATTTTACAGCCTTTCTTGCCAGAGCTGTTAAGTGAATCGGTGCACTTCTAGTAACACGGTTGTTAAGTGAATCTAGCTTCCCCATTGACTTTGCTCGTCGGAAAGAAACGGTGATCCCATGGCCCTGGGACACTGCAACTGTCACGAACCATTTGTCAAGCATCCAAATTTTGATCAAGTGACCCCAGGGCTGCTGCAAGGATTGTAAATGTGTAAAATGGTAATCAGTCTCTGTTGTCAGTGCCATTGTGACTTTGAATTGTCACTGAATGAACAGTTGTGACTCGAGGACTTCCTGTACGCAGAAAAAGTGTGCATTTTAGGGAGAAATGCAAAACTGTAGGGTATGAGAGTAACTTGCTCATGGAAAGCATGGACATTTAAACTAACAAGCGGAGAATTCATCAGTGGAACAACTTGCCTGCAGAAGTTGTGGGTGCTCCAACACCAGAGGTTTTTAAGAAGAGACTGGACAACCACTTGTCTGAAATGATACAGGGTCTCCTGTTTGAGCAGGGGGTCGAACTAGAAGGCAGGCTGATATAATGGGGAGAAAATGGTATGATAAGCATTTGCGGCACATCAGAGTAATTAGACCTTCTGGATTTTACTCAGGGTTGTTCAAAGGAGACCGACACTTTGAGGAGACACTGTTCTGTGCCATATTGTGACCAAGTGCCCAGTCACAATTACTCACTCGTGTTTGGATTTCATAGCTGGGAAGCAATTCCTTTGTTTAGCATATGTATTTTAAAGTGCCCAGATCTCTGGAGACCTGAAGTGGGTGACTGTAGCTATTGTATCACTCAGTCCTCAGTCACACCAGGATTGTTCTACGTGTGGGAATAGGAAGTGTTACATCAAAGCCCAGTCTATCTGCTTTGTCAATTCCGGTTGGCTGGTCTCACATATGATTGACCAAAAACTATTACAGGATGAAAGTAGTTGGTACTCAGCCCTGTTGACTTCCAACAACTATTTTTTTGTGCCTTGCAGTTCATTTATTATTCCCGAACTTCAGGATTCCTGTAGGAATTCAACATTGGGACTATATCCACTTTTTTAAAAAATTAAAATAAACCAGCCAGCATAAGTCTTTAGCCTTTAAGGTAAGAAGGGCAAAACTCTTTGCAGTACTTCCGAGGAATAAAACAGATCTAGATGCTTGCAGTTTTTAATTTAGTATATATCCAAGCTCAAATGTTATACGCAGACGGTATATTTTATTTAGGACTCATTTAGCTTTTTGCAACCATAATATTGTGCCAAATCAACAGGTGAGGCAATTAATCTGGACAGAAGTTGAAAAGGGTAAGGCCTTCCTTCACCCGTTAGGATAGCATTGATTGTGATGCAATAGTGGTGAATATCTGCAGCTCGCGTATAGGATGAGGGTGAAGGTACGTTCTCTGCACTTGTGGGTTGGTTTCCAAACATTTCATTATACCAGGCTGGGTAACATCTTCAGCGGAATTTAGGGGACGGCAGAGTCAGAGTTCTTCTGTTCATAAGGGCTTCAGGTGTGAGTGTGTCGAGTGAAGATCTTGTGATGGGTGTGGGTGGGTGTGGGTGTGTCGAGTGAAGATCTTGTGATGGGTCTTGGAACCCAACCCAACCCACGCAAGCCCCCCCACCAGCAGTTCACTCCTAAGGACCCTGACTGGATGTAACCTCCCCATCCCAAGACCCATCCAAGATTCTCACTGATGACTCACACCTGACCCATCAGAAGACCCACCAGAAGACCCTCACTGGATACACCCACACTTGAAGCCCTTATGAACAGAAGAAGTCTGACTCTGACATCCCCTAAACTCCGCTGAAGATGTTACCTAGCCTGGTAACAAAATGTTTAGAAACCAACCCACAAGTGCGGAGAACGTACCTTCACCCTCATTGTTTGTGATGTATTCAGAAAATACATCCCGTAATTCGTCATAATAAAGAATACATGTTTTACAAATTAACAAGAAGTCGTAAGGGCAGTCATCACTTATGTCAGCAAACTAAACAATCCTTCCTCTCCCAAAGTAGACTTCTCCTTTTTTATCTCGGTCTTTTTCTTTCCCACAGAGACAGGGAGATGTCGGTTCCTACGAAGACCCCTGGATGAGTTGTGGGTTCCAATCCACTTGCTACCAGCAGAGGGCAATCTGTTCCCTTTGGGATGAGACTGCAATCCAGGAAGTGCCCACAGGCTTAGAATATTACAGCACAGGTAGAAGCAATCCTGTTTCTCTTTCTTTGGCTTTGCTCGCTGGAAAATGTGTCTTGTGTTCCTCCCTTGCTACAGTATAACGTCATGAGTTACAAATCAAGAAGTTTCTCTACTTCTTGCCCTTACCAGGAACTTGCCAGGAAATGTTAAGCAAGCCACTCTCTCACAATCTCTCCGTGATATGGAGGTGACAAGAATATTGTCCTCCTGTAAAGAGCTATTACTGTGTTGTACATCTCAAGAGATGTACACCAATGCACAGTGAAGGAGTTACATAAAATTGCCTTGCACCTACTTGGTCTAATCTGTTTGTTTTTTTATTTATTATTCAAAGCTATTAATAGGTAAACATCTACGCGCCTAAGAATAAAATGCGTAAATGAAACACAGAAACATACTGAACACGGCAGCCACAATATAACACCTATATTAAACTTGTGTACATCAGCACATAATACATCCTATGGCGGGAGTGCCATGCCCATGGTGTATTTTATTTTATTATTATTTTATTTTATTATGTATTATTTATTTTATTGTATTATTTTATAATTTGATTTGATTTAATTTATTATTTTATTTTCATTTATTCAATTGCACCTGGTCTGCTTCTGCTTGGCTGGAAGACCATCGTGGTTTTATTTTTGCATTTGTTTGTTTGTTTGTTTGTTTGCCTTCCATGCCAGCCATTATGGTCGTGAACTAGATGGTGAAACTGAAACAAACTGGAAGAAGGCATTTATTTATTTCATACTGCTCTGAGAAAGTTTCATGGAAGGGTCCACAAAATGCCAAGCACCAAGCCTGATGCAAGGGTCTTCTCTAGTGAAAATGTGAAACATTCCAGGGGGAAGGGAAAAATTGGGGCACTGCTTGTTTTGACAGCGCAATGTTGGCCTTTGATGCCCACAGCAAGATTATTTGCATGCAGATAAGATTATGGAGTGCTTTGGTAGGAAGAAAGCATGACTTAGAACTTCATTGAGCTTTAAAACCCAGGCTTTGCATCTTTTTGAAAGACAGATCATTTAGATGCAAGAATTTGCCTTGGAATCTTATCTCTGGAGTTCCAAAGATATTTCTAAAGAGGTACGATCATTTTTTCTTCTTCTTGCGGTCAGCCGTGGAATGGAGCTCTAGCTCTAAAAACATGCACAGGGACGCTTGTTTCTAAATCTCTTGGGACCCCTGGTTTCCCAAAGGACGGTGGGGGTGGGTGGTGGGGGTTTATGGTCACGATTCTGATCTGCTCAGGAACAGCCAAGAAGAACCAGCTGAGATTGAAGAAGCAATGGATCAACCCAGCATAGCCACTGCATCCCAAGCAAATTGTGTACAAATCTTGTGCATTTGTATAGTATCTCTCAACCTACTTCAGGGTTATTATGGACATTCCATTACTGAAGAGTTCTATGTATCTCCGAAGAGGGGAAAAAAAATGTAATGTAATGCAATAAATCAAGAAGTCACCTACAAAAAAAAAAAAAAAGACCGAAAGATGTTTTGGACACCTTTCCATAACTGGGAAGTAGCTTCCAATATAATTCCTCTCTTTCTCTCTCCAGCCCACCCACCCACCCACCATCAAATCAATCCACAACAGGGACATTTTCATTGCTTAGCTGAGCTCATTTTGCGTGAAAATCCTACCTAATTTCATATTCTAAAAACCTCAAAGTTTTATATATCCTTTATACCTTAAGACGTTTCTTGCGATAAGTGCAGGAGAAAATGAAGACCCAGATGGATGCGGACTCTGTAAACTGCTTAGAGAGGGCTGTAAAGCACAATGGAGCAGTATATAAGTCTAAGTGCTATTGCTATTGCTATCTGATGTTTTGCAACGCTTTGCAACCGGTGCAGTATCCTAGCAAAAGGAACTCTCCAGATCCCCTCAACAGATTCCTCTGCTACAATTTTGCAGTTTTCAGATGCAGCCTAAATCTGAAGTTCTTGAGGTCTATCAGCGTAGACCGTTTTTTTTTTTTTTTTTAATAAATAGTTTGAATCTGCTTACACAATTAGGCTTGTCTATAGGTGTGGCTTTTTAAAGCTGAGCAAGTATGCTAGATGGTGACCAACTATTACAAAAAAACTTTTTGAAAGAGTCCCTTTGTTTTGGGGGTGTCCCTAGGGGATTGAAATAGTCAGCATGGAGCCAAAACCCATGATCAAAGCCCCACCCCTTTTTATAAAAGGAGCAGAGACTTAACACACAATCACAGCCTCCAGTTCGATCTATTTATTTATTTATTTATTTTTAGATTCCCCTGCAGGCACTTATTTTCTCTGCAATATTCTATCAAGCAGGTAACTTGCATAATGAAAATAGAAGTTTTACACTGGAGCAAGCATAGGGCTGTAGCTTTAAGGGACAGAACCCATTCTGAATTTTATAGAGAGAGTATTTTAATTTTACACCCAGCATTTTCCAGTTGGACTGAAAAGCATCTGGAAAACCTTTAGAAGTTAATTTAGATGTAATTTGTGGCCCGTGGACAGTGGTGGGATTCAGCCAGTTTGCACCAATTTGGCAGAAATGGTAGCTAATTTTTTTGTTGCCCAGGCCTAGAATGGACTTCTGGAAGCGGCATCCACACAGAGAACCGGTTGTTCACATATTTGAATCCCACCACTGCCCATGGACCATATGTGTCCCTGGACAGCTAGCAATGTGGCCCCACAAGATAATAAAAATATTTTAAAAAGGAAGTTTGTTATTTATATACATTACCTATATTATATATTTTGTATGCAGCCCAAGGCAATTCCTCTTCATTCAAAACAGTCCAGGCAAGCCAAAAGGTTGGGCGCCCATGATTTAGACCAAAAATGGACAATGGGAGAGCCATATTTGTAGCATCCCCATCGTAGCTCCGTAGTCAAGGCTCAGTGACCGGAGAATGAATGGTTATAAGTTGTGAACTACCGATGGTCATGAAGAAACATCATGGGTAGGAAAGGGAAATTGGATACTCTTCTGCACAGGGTTGGACTTGAGTGCCACCTTGCACTGGTCAGCAGGGCCTGTGGTCACGAATGATGGGTAATGCAGTCCAGTAACCCCTGGGAGAGCCCATATCAGCTGCTGAAACCTGCTTCTGTTCCTCTGGATAGCCATTTTCCTATTCTGAATGAGCCAGGGATGATCCTGTAGATTCGGAGTGAGATCAAATAAATTTCAAGCATATTGTTAGTGGATGGTTTGATTCAAGAGGTGGCAGTTCTCCTCTTCCCCCTTCTGTGTCACACTCTCCACTTTTGTTTTCCTGAGACTAGTCTTCTGCCCAGGCTATTTCCCCATTCCTCTCTCTCTCTCTCTCTCTCTCCCTCCCTCCCTCCCTCCCTCCCTCTCTCTCTCTCTCTCTCCCTCCCTCCCTCTCTCTCTCTCTCTCCCTCTCCCTCCCTCTCCTCTCTCCCTCCCTCCCTCTCTCTCTCTCCCTCCCTCCTCTCTCTCTCCCTCCCTCCCTCTCTCTCCTCCCTCCTCCCTCCCTCCCTCTCTCTCTCCCTCCCTCCCTCCCTCTCTCTCTCTCTCTCTCTCTCTCCCTCCCTCCCTCCCTCCCTCCCTCCGTCTCTCTCTCTCTCTCTCTCCTCCCTAGAGGAAAGTTCTCTTTGTATGCAGTTTCTAGGCCCAGTTCCAGATTCTTTCCTGGAGGAAGGGCAGGATGTGTCCCTGTTGTGTGTGTGTCTGTGTGTGTTTGCAAAGGCCAACATGGCTCAGCAGCCCCAATGGCTTCTCCAGCTGCAGTGCATTTTCAAAGCCGGGCTTAAAAGAGAATGCTCTGCATTTTTTTTGGCATTCTTTTATCCTATTTTTAACTGCAGCTTCTTTTCCCTTTCTCAGCCCCTTCTGACATCCCTCCCCATTCCCCCCCCCTAGCCACCTCCCCCGCACTCCTTCGAAAGAGATGAATGGGACTCCTTTTCTCAAAGAAGGCACATCTGCTGGGGATGGGAGGGAGGCTTGGAGGTTTGGGGGAGGAAAGCAGCAGGGGAAACGGGCAAGGCTATGATGGCACACTTCAGGCCTTCTCTGTTTCCCTACCAAGGGGCATCAGAAGCACAAAGTTGCAGAGGGAGGAATCAAGGCTATGGAGGAAATGCAAACCAGAGAAAGAAAGAGAAGAGGGAGGGAGAGAGGGAGAGAGGGAGAAAGAAAGAGAGGGGGAGAGGGAGAAAGAGGGAGAAAGAGAAAGAAAGAGGGAGAGAGAGAAAGGGAGAGGGAGGAAGAAAGAGAGAGGTGAGAGGGAGAGACAAAGAGAGGGAGAGAGAGGGAGAGGTTAGGAAGAAAGAGGTGAGAGGGAGGTGGAAAAAGAGAGGGAGAAAGAAAGGGAAAAAGAGCAAGAAGGAGAGAGAGAAAGGGGAGAGAGAGAGAAAGAGTGAGAGAGGAGAGAGAGGAAGAGAAAGAGACGAAAGTAATGGGAAGCAAGGAAAAACTGCCCTTTGACTTGCACATGGTAGTCAAGTCATGGTAGTCAAGTAGGCAATGAAACTAGGCAATAAAAACACATTTGTATACTATGGATCATGCAGCTGCCTGGCCTCATTCATAGCCTTCCCCCCCCCCCCTCAATCTCTCTGTATTTTTCCTGCCTACTGTCTTGTGCCCAAGAGCAGCCCGGAGCCATTGGCAGCGGTTGGGTAGGATGCTGCCCGGGAATTCTGCATGAATGAGTGAAGTCTTTCTCTCTTGGCTTCTAGTCTTCCCTTGGCTGGTGGGTCTGTGAGTCAAAAGGGCCTCCCGCACAAAAGCCTCTGTTCAGGCATCTCATTCAGCCTCCAGTCTCTGGCTGCTGCTGGCCTCCACACCCCGTTTCTACAATCGTATGTATTTTCCCATTTGCCCATGTGAATGGACTTGCCCAGCAACCATTTGGAGATATTTCCGTCTTCCTAAAACTTTTTGAATAGCTCCTACATTTTGATATGAGCAAGGGGCAAATGGCAAGCGGCCTATCTACTCCCTGCAGTCACGTCTTCCCTCGCCTGGGTTTCAAGGA